AAATTTGATGATAGATATTTTCAATAGAAATACAATTAATATAAATTTTAAATCTTAAAACACATAGGTGTTCATTCTAAACGGCGTTTTTATTTAAAAAAAAAAAACCTTAAAAAATACATTTATTGGAAAAGTATTCGCAAACAACATTAATTAAAAAAATACTCTTTAAATTATCTACGTAAAATTACCTCACATTTTATAAATGTGTTTAATGAACCTTACATTTTATTGGACGCGAGATTCATAATTTTTCAAAAAAAAAAAATCGTTTATTCTTTAAATAATATCTACATCTATCACTAATTTCGGTCACAACGATATTTCTTTTCTTCATTTTGAAAAAACCTTGAAGTAGACGGAAGCCTACATCCACAGCCACATGCAATGATTACATCTCCACCTTCTCTAGCCGTAATCATATTCTCAAAAATTATATGTATGCTACTCTAAACCTAGAGACATGCATGCTTAGCCAATGGTCATTGAGAGGGAAGTTCTACGATGCGGCGGGTTTAAAAACAATTAAAATAAGGTGTTATTAATTTTGTTATCGTTTAAATAATAAAATTAATAAAATTTACTTAAATTTTTTTTGGTAATTATCTAAAATATTATATTAATCCGGTATTTTTTAAGTCTAATAATATTTCTAATAATTTTTATCGGTTTTATTATTTAACATAATAATAAAATCGATAACACTTTATTTTAGCTGGTTTTTAACCAGCTGCATTATAGAACTACCCATATATCGGGTTTTATAATAGCGTTATTTTTTAGTTCAATGAGTATATAATGGATCCTATATATAGTTGGTATGTTAGGCGTTTGTTAGGTGTATCGGGGCGGATGCATTAAGTCTTCATCGAATTAAGTGCATCCTTGTTATTTAAAAAATGATTAAATATTATTTAATAAATTAAGAAAATAAAAAATAAATTTTTTTATACCCAATATACAATTTCCATATGCAAAGAAACGAAACAAAAATCAAACATGACAACTCCCCAATTGGTCACAAGGAAAGGAAAGACAGAATCAAACATAACATTAGTCATTATGTAGCTTCAAAATATTGTGTATTTATTTTTTTAAGAAAAAGAATCCAAAAAATATTTTATCTATTTTATGTTTTCCAGAAGGGAAAAAAATAACATAACTGTGAAATAAACGAGAGGGGGAGGGGGGGAAATAGGGATTTATTATAATTTATTTGACTCGTGTAGGTGTTAGAAAATGAAATAAAACGTGTATATGTATGTACGATGTATGGAAAAACACATGTTTGAGCATAACATGGTCTACCTCTTCCCTGTGCCGCATTCGGACCATCAAATCGGCTGTTATCATTTTCATATTAGTTGAGTTGAATTATAGCACAATCTCTCTTCACTCCAATCATTACAAAAAATAAGGTAAATTACACTATTTTTCATTGAACTTTATTTTTTCTCCTATTTTGTTTAATCTACTTTTAATTTTTCTATTTTGCTTATCGAACTTTACAGATCGAATCACTTTGTTCATTCCGTCGTTAATTTTTTAATGGCGTTATGACATGACATAAGCATCAAAATGACGTCGTTTTGAAAAACTCAAATATACACCAAAACAACATCGTTTAGAATCTTCTTCTTTCCCCCCATTGTTGCCGCTAGCCACCACGTCATTTTTCATTCCGGCCACCGTCAACCGTCGTTGATGGTGGTCGTTCGGTCCCAAAACTCATGGGTTTGTTCGTCTCAACCCCTGAGTCCGAATTTGGTGGTTGTTTCACCGAAAATGTCCCAAAATCCATGAATCTCGGCTAAAACGTTTCGACTTCTTCACTTTCAATCTTCGAGCCATGGACTTCAGAGCAAGTTTTGACAAAATAGATGTTAGATTCGGACTAAAGGTGTCGAAGAAAAGCGACCCATGAAATTTGGGACCGAATGGTCACCATCTACGACGGTCGACGATGGTCGGCGATGTCATCCGACTATTTTATATTTTTATTTTATAGTTGGGTGAGTAAAATAGGAGAGAAATTAAAGTTTAGTGATGAAGGATGTAATTTACCCTTTATATTTTCAATTATTTTATATAAAATAATAATTAAAAAAATGACATGATATCTCACTGTTAAAGAGCTAACGACATGGTGAGCAAAATGATTTAATTTATAAAATTTAATGAGTAAAATAAAAAAAATAAAAGTACAATAAATAAAATAAGAGATAATAAAATAAGAGGAATCATGTAAATATCCAAAAATATTAACTTCCCACGAAAACTCCACTGATGTGCTCACTGTGCAGTCAAGTTTAGTTTACAATTACGGTGGTAAAACTTAATTATAATTATAAATATTTTTAAATAAAATTAGTCGTTTTCATTGTAAAAAATTATAATAACAGTGTAAATAAGTTGGAGATTTAAAGTTTTATAAGTTTTTATTTATTGTAAAAGTTTTTAAAGTAAAGTATATAAATGGTCTCTGTTTATAAGATATTATTTTATTAAGTTTCTCGATTATTAAAAGTTACAAAATGATCATCCGACAATAGAGTGTTGTTTTATTGGTTCCTCAACTATTAAAAGTTACAAAATGTTATCCGACTATTCATTATGTTACGAACTCGTTATTCTCTGTTAAAAAATTGACGGTATTCTAGCTAGACGTTAACCTGCTGATTGTGATATGATAAAATATGATCCCAAAATCTCAAACGACTATCATATCTTGATCATCATGTTAACATCCAACTTAGACAACTGTCAATCTTCTAATGAAAAAGCACTACTTTAAAACATAATGAACAGTCGGACGACCCTTTTGTAACTTTTAATAGTTAAGAAAATAAAAAAAAAAAGCAACATTGTATAGTTGGAAGATCATTCTATAACTTTTGTTAATCGAGAGACTTAATAAAATAATACCCCAGGGGTGGACCTCCATGGAGCCCGAGGTATCCCGGGCAACCTCTCATCCAGGGGCGGACCTCCATGGTGCTCGGGATATCCCAAGCAACCCCTCTACAAGTGCCTCTCCTAATATAAGTGACACCCCTCAAAAGTGTCACCCTTAGAGTTCTTGCAACCCTTGACGAAGGTTCCTGGGTCCGCCTATGCAATTCCCTATAGTAAGGGGACTATATGTGTACTGTTCCCATATTGTTTTATAAATTGTTAGATACCATGTGACAGCTGAGCACGCAATTTAATATCATGCTGTAATAAAAAGAAAATGTTGCAAAGTGGTGTGTATTGGCTGAGCCAATGGCACTATCTGTAATTTTGGACAAAATAGTTAATATATATAATATAAAACGTTTATCTTCATAAATCATATATACAGACCTTGGTTGGTGTAGTTTCATTTCATTTCATACGAGTACACCTATTGACTGGGTTAAGTAAGGCATTCTCAAAATCCTCTGTATGGGGTCATGAATGCTGCAATAACAGCCCAAATACATTCATGAAATGTCCTTTTCATACTTTAAATCTTTGACATCTAATTTTTTAAGGGTAAATTACGTAATTAATATTTAAATTATCAATTTTGATTTGTTTTGATATTAAAATTTTTACTTTTTTAAAAATCATACATAACGTTTAGTTTTCATTTTATTTTAGTATTTCGCCATTAAAAACTTAACGTTTTAGTACCTAAACTATCAATTTTGATCTGTTTTAGTACCTATTTTTTTTTAAAAAAAATTAAAACTTAACGTTAAATTTTGAATGAGGTACTAAAATAAAACAAAAACTAAAGTTTTTAACGATGAGATATTAAAATGAAACAAAAATTAAACTTTAGTGTGATTTTGGAAAAAATATATGAAAGTTTAAGTGCTAAAACGAACAAAAACTGATAGTTTAGGTACTAAAAGCGTAATTTACCCTTTTTTAATATAAGATATCAGTCTTATGAAAATATCTAAAATTATAATAATAATTTACAACTACAATTGTAAACTAAATATATAATTTGAACATTTTTCTATAACATAGAAACAAGCCGCTTTAGATCATATATGGATCATTCATGGAAAAGGTTAAAACTGAATCAAAAGACTCGAACTAGAAATAAATACGAACAAATCTGATAGCATCGACAAATGAATCAAAAAAGAGGGATTAAGCTATTGAAATACCATAGAGAACTGTAAATCAAAGAGCCGAGCGTCATGAGAAACTATCTACGAATGCAAAATTGAGTATTCAAATTCAATCCTAGGGTCCATAGTAGGGAAGATCAACATGATTACAAATAATTGTCATCTTAATCGGTCTTGATGTCATCAAATCCAACTTTGAGAGAACAAAAAATATATAGAACGACCAAATGATTACAAATAATTGTCATCTTAATCGGTCTTGACGTCATCTTAATTGTCAACTTTTTTTTCAGAAACTTCATTCATTAAAATTTAGTTTCAATAATGTACCATCACCTAATAGGTTAATAATATATAGAATTCATATATATATTATTCATTCCATAAAATAAAATCATATAAAAATGTTAATAAAATTCAATTAAATAATATGAGGAAATAGAATATACAAATAAATATTACATTGTAAATGATAAAAGATAAACACTATCAATATAATAATATATCTAAACGAATTACGAGCACCTAAAAAATAATAACAAATTAAACAAATACTGAATTAAACGCTAATTAGATCAAATAAAAACCCTAATTCATATACCAATTTATCAAACATGCCAGTAAAAGCCTGACAAGGAAAGATGGAAGATTTCAATATGCCAGCCTTTTTCCAGACATAGTGACCCGATGTTACTTTCAAGTTTCTAATCCCTTTGTGTCCCTTCATTTTGCGCTCGCAATATGCAATGCATGCATGAACCTCTTGAATATCAATTTCCAGCACACACACACACATATATAGATTTGTCTTCATCATTAATCTGCAACTTGCATGGGCTATATATATAATTGCGTAGGCAAAACGTTGAAGCAGAATAGTTTGAGAAGTTTTGCAGAAAGTGATGGAGCTTGGAAGTGATTCAACAAGAATCAATCGATGCTTAGTCGAGAGAGAACGAAGGCGTCACATGAAATCTCTCTCTTCCCAGCTCTCTGCTCTCCTGCCTCCTCAACCAACCAGGGTATTCTTATATATATTGTATGAATCCATTGAATATCTTTAGGGTGGTCTAAAAGTGGCCTCTGTGGTAAATTGTATATATATGGTCCTAATTTGTCCGTTTTTAGCACATTAAAAGGCGCTGGTTTATGTTGCAGATGTCGATGCCGGAGCTGGTGGACCAAGCCACTGCATACGTGAAGGAACTGCAGCAGAATCTGGAGAAATACAAGCAAATGAAGGTGGAAATGAAACTGGATTGTTCAAAGAGAAGCAGAAAGATATCACCAGTTCTGAACATCACAGATTCGGGGTCCCATTTGGAAGTAAATTTGATCACAGGGTTGAATAACCAGTTTGCATTGTCTGATTTCATCAGTATTCTCCAGGAAGAAGGAGCAGAAATTATTAGTGCAACTTGCCAGTGCACAGAAGATAGGGCAACCTACACAATTCTTTCTCAGGTACGGTTACTTTTGATAGGACGAAATGGATTCTAATGGTTCACCTCTTTTGATTCGAGTTTAGATAAATTGCGATTCTCCGATCAATCCAAAACAAGTGAACCACCAATAACCGTCACAATAAATTTGGTCTCATCAACACTTTTCTTCATCATTCCATTGAACACATAGTTTTGGCATTTTGTTTTTGCAGGCTGTCTACCCTAGAATTGGCATTGCAACTTCAAGTGTCCTTGAGAGATTGAAGCGCCTGATATGTTGAAAAAAGGAACTTATATTTTTCCATGTATTCCATGAAAGGGGAATAAAGAAGGAATTGCACCCATGTAATTGTTCTCATGAACAATGATTTTTCTTAGTTATGTTAAATGATTTCTTTCCATATTTTTAGATGGTATCTATTCGAAAGATTCCGAATTCATTTGACAATAAACGCTCAAACACCCCTGACATATGATGTACTCGAACCTGAGACCTCAATGAATAACAATTATCCTTTTAACCACCGAAGTAACTTGATTTATGCTCATCGTGTATTTTTTTAAAAATAAAATTTAAGTTTTGCAAAAAAATTATTAAAAATATCAAAACAATGGTAAAAATGTATATATTAAAAGAACATACATAATTCAGATACTTAGTTTAAGGAATGTTAGCCGCAAGTGAACGTTTTTCAGAACATTCTTTCAACAATACATTACATGCAAACAGCCCAATCGATGACGAGCTGTAATGACGTATATAGCTGAGGTCTTCTTAGCTTATGCACATGAATTTCTTACCATATGTATATTATAGGTTGTGATGTATTTATATAATTTAAAATATTTTTTGTTTTATAAAGATTTAGGTTGAATAATTAAAAATAAACGGTTGAGATTAAATCTTTATTTTTTTCAGTGAATATTTTTTTTTATTGTTAATTTCAGTCGTATATTTTCACTCATCCAATAATTTTAAATCTGTGTTAAACTAAAATATTTGATATTGTATAATTAAATCCTAACTCATATATTACGCATTATGTGTGTCGTGTTTTCTTTTCAATTTGTGTAGAAAAAATCGAGTTTCCGACAAACAATGATGATCAATGGTAGGTTTGGTTTTATGGGAGATAAAAGGTCGAAATTTTATAGGTTTAATGTTTTAATATAAAACAAAATTAGATTCCTATGTTCATTATTTTTTAATAAAAGATATACTATTATGATTTAATTTTATTCATATTAGAATTGAAACTAAACTTTTATAAGATATTAATTACGTATAAACTCTTGATAAGAACAATTTAATTAGTGATATACGTCATGGTATCATATTAATAGATCTTGTTAGATGAAAATCGTTAACTTACAAATGATCAATCTATGTTACTGACGTAATATTTTCATATGTATTTAATTATTGATGTGATACAAATCACATTACTAAATTTGATGATGTGATATATAACACATCATCACTTTTGATTATATGACACATGTCATGTCAAATTGAACACATGTGAAAATACCAAATCGGTAATATGGGTTGATCATTAGTGAACTAATGGTTTCCATCCAATATGATATGTTTTGACCAAATATCTTAATGTTAAGGTGTAAATAGGGTCGGGGCTAGGACGTTGGAGGCCATGTGTAAATTCTTAAAAATAATGTAGTTGAAAAATTGAGATTAAGGGAACTAGTTAATTAAAGGAAGGTAAGAAATTTATGACTATGGTGGGAATGAGAATTAACGAGAGAAGATGAATAATTGAAGTTTGGTAAAGTGAATTGAAGAAGATGAACTCATTTCTCGTATAGTGGAGTTAGACAAAAAAATGAGATAAGCTTCACAGCTGTAGCACAGTACTAATTATTGGTATTTTACATATGACTTCAGCAAGATTCGATCGCAGGTTCTGTGGTTTTGTGCTCAAAAATTTTACCACTGATCCATAATACTTTGTTTAGTTTTTTATTGTAACAATAATAATAAATCTAATTTTTTGGGCCCTTGTTATTCCGGGCCTTGTTCCGTCGCGCACATTACGCTGTCTTACTCCCGTCTCAGGGTGTAAAATGCTTCCAAAAAAAAATAGAAGATAAAATGATCATTTGTACAAATGTTGGAAGGTATTTTTGTCATATGAGAGTTTTTTTTAACGAAGTCTTATTTTACGTTTCAAGAAAAGAAAAAAAAAAGAAATAGCTGGTCCAAACTTGTCATATATTATTCTGTTTTGGTATATTGACACTTGTCAGACAGAGTCAAGTTTTTCTTTTCAGTCCCCAAACTTTTGCGTCTTACTGCAAAAACATGCAACACATGTCGGTCCACTTCTGCAACAATGGTCGATGTTGCCCCAATTGCAATTGCAGATTTTGGAACACCAAAATCAAACATGGTCGGCAAAAACAACAGATCCAGGACCACATTTCACTTGAATCACTGCAGTCGTGTTTAAACTTTGCATCAAATTAAAATCGGCTTCTGCAGTTTCATACATGAGTCATCCCTGTCATTTGGTATCTTTGTAATAAAAGAATACAAACAGCGGCGGATTTAGATATACTTTTTAAGATGAACATATATTAATTATTAATATTTTTCTTATAGCGAGGACATAAATATTCTGGACATGCTTCGCAACCGACACTAAATACAAATCGGTAACCGGTCCTGCTCTGATATTTTTATCTGGCGTGGACAGGAACGATCACAATTCTGGCTCCAGGGCAGCCAACTAGGTACCACTGATAAGTTCATTCAGTAGTGAAACTGTACATATTATTTTCAAGAGTCAATTATCGAAAATAGTTGTAATGTTAATATTTTCTAGTACAATCACCCTTAATTAGTGAGATGAATATATTCAAAGGATACATATCATATGTTTGAGGAATATATCCTCGTATTCATGTATGAAATTACTCTTTTCCTCCTTCCACTGTTCGAAAGTTTACTTTGGCGTCAATCGGATATGAAGGGGGTTTTAACGACACTCATTTGCATATAAACAAAAAATAGAGAACTCGGAGATTATGAGCATAAAAATTACTTTGCCCTGACTTCTGTAGTATTTTCAAAAGACTTCTAGCTCCTTATAATTATTGTGAAGGTCTCGTGAGAGTATAATATCAACTATCCTTAATTATTAAATTTAAATCATATATAAAAAAATATAAATAGATTTATTATCGTTTATATTTGTAAATATAATAAACTGAACTAAAATAAAGTTATTTTTATAATAAATATTCTGAATATCCGATTAACTCAAATAGCTTTTTAAACACGTGGGAATATAACCTTTAAAATTGTCATCAAATTGGGCCATTCGAGCTGCAAGCATGGAAGAAACGAGTTTGGAATTGAAAGTCGTATAGGGTTCATGCAGCCGCTAAATTACTAAGTTCTTAAATTTCCACCAAAACCGGTACGTTGTACTATAAGAACGCCAACATATATGTCGTAGTGTTGCAATTCCATACGTTGTTTTTCCCTTCTGTGCGACACTCGAAAGAACCATGGCCGATCCGACCGCATCACTGTCGAGAACGAACCGAAATTTGATCGAACGAGAACGAAGATCGGAAATGAGATTGCTCCTTTCGACGCTCGTTAGTGTTCTTCCTCCTCGCCCGAAAAAGGTACCGTTACCGGATCACTGTGCTGTGATCATATATTTGCTCGGTTTTTCGTATAATCGATTACGCCATTGATAAATGTTGTTGCAGATGCCAATGCCTCAGGTGGTGGAGAATGCCACGGTCTACGTGAAACAACTGCAAGAGCGTGTGGAGTAACTCAACCTAAGGAAAGTGCAACTGGAAAGTGAAACAACAATATCGCCGGCCCTCGAAATAACGGATTCGGATTCGGAATCCACGATGGAAGTCAATTTGATCGCGACGACGACGTCGGCATTATGCGACATCATCACTATCCTCGAGGAAGAAGGAGCCGAAGTTGTGAGTGTTAATTATCATAAGGATGGCAATAGGATCCGTCTTTCAGTTCATTCTCAGGTACAAAGTAAAAACATTCATCGATTTGTTTATTTATATGAAAATGTATTGAAATGTAAATTTATTGGAATTTTTTTTTGCAGGCTGCTTACTCTAGAATTGGGATTGAAAATCTCAGAGTGCGTGAGAGGTTGAAAAGACTACAGATTTCGTGAAAGTTTCTTTAGTTACTGCAAATTAAACCCTAAAAGATGAAGATTAAAGCTGCATGTTTGGAGATATGCATGCCATTGTTTTCTACTTTTTGAATGTAGAATTGAATCTACTTTTAAGTCATCTTGCCGTGATTTGAATGTGTTAAGTTTTTAAGGTACTCGTCACGTGTAATTAAATTCGTAATTGATCAACAATCAGTTAATCTAGTGGTATGAGACATTGATTCCTTAAGCAATGTCAAGTGTTTGAATCCTAACGTTTGCAAATAGAGTAAATTGAGTTGAGAGAATCGTCATCGTCTTTGCAGTACTCGATCTAGATTAGACTCGATCAAATATCTACAAATATGATCTTTTTATTATCTACACCAAAATCATCATCAAATGCAAGAATTGTTTACGTACGAGAAATATTCCAACACTCCAATAACGCCAAAGTTGATAAGTAAAAGAGTATGTTTATCTAAATAGAAACTTCAAAGATACAATTAATAACATTTTTTTCTTTTTTGATTAATATGGGTTAAGTATAAGTGTATTATATGTTCAAAGATAACTTTCAACCATTTGACGTTAAACGCTCATACCCCTGACATTCCTGACGCTTGAACCCAGGACCTCAAGGAATAACAACATGTTCTTTACCACTTAAGTCGCTCGTTTTGTGAAGTTAATAGTAAATTTAACAACAATGAACAATTATGAAAGTAATGATGCAAAAATAATTAATCTATGTACCAAAACTAAATTGTAAATTAAAGAAATTATATTCTTTAAAATTTATAAAAACATCAATTAATATATAATAAAATTATGCTTTTAACTTTTTTAAAGTGATAAAGTTATACTTTAATCCTTTTAAAAATTATTAAATACAATATAATACGGTGATATAATTACATATAAACTTTCATAAAATTTATAATTCAAATTCAACTAAAAAAATTCTAACTTTGTTATTGTGAATAATATTTTGATGGAATAAATTTTCATTTAAAACTTTTTTTCACTAAATTCGGGAAATGTAATAATTAAATGTTTTTTTTAAATATTTTAATAAATTATTTTTTTTTTAATTTCATCTAAAATCTGAAACAGATTCGTTATATGATTACTTACTTTTTTAACAGCTATAGGGAAGAGATTAAGATATTTTTAATTTCTAATTTCATCTAAAATCCATGGCGTTGGACTGCATAAAGTTAATGAAACGACGTCACTTACCTGCTTTTTAGCTTTTGAATTTGTATAATTCAAGTGGGACGGCTCCACCATACGACAGCTGCCACGACGTTCCAAATTTTCCAAAATTTTTAAAAGAGCCCTTTCTCTTTCCACGTTTTGCAAAACCATCCCCCAACCTTCTCTTTGCAAGCACTGAATTTCAGTAATCTTGGACGATTTTTTTGATCAGGAAAAAATATGGCAAATTTGGAACCGGGGAACATCGAAGCTCGATTTTGCAGGTCACCGATATTGTACCGGCCGATTTCGATGAGGAGAATCTTTGGCCTAAACATGGATTCTAGATCAAGGTCACGAATCTTCGCATTCGATTTACGCTAGTCTTCCTTCTGAGCAAGATGATTTTGTTCTTAGTAAAAAAATGAAACTTGGGGACATAACTCAAAAGGTGAAGACGCGCCTGCAATCTTGCATGAAATTGCGCACAACTCCATAGACCAACGTCCATGGAGTTGTGCGCAATTTCATCCAAGCAGCATCCCATATGGCACATAACTCAAAAGGTGAAGCAGATAGAAACTGAAGCAGGGAATTGGTTCATGGAGTTCCTGGAGAAAACTTTGGAGAATGGTATGAAGAAATCTAAAGGGAAAGTTGGTTAGTCACCGATATGAAGGTTATTAATTGGGTCAGTTTTTTTAAGATTATATTACACTTTTACTATACTTTTCAAGGGTTCTTGTTTTCATTGTTTGATTTCCAATGATTTCCGTTATTGTGTCCCTCTCAATTAATGTGCAAGAGCTTATATGTATTAATTTTTTATGTAAGTAATTAGATTTATTAAAAATATATATCTAAAATTATAAATAGAGGGTCACAATCATAATCATAACTATAATTAGGAGGACCATGCAAGAAAAATATTGAAAATTCAACAAACAAACAAAAAACTCGAACAAAACATACATACAAACATATCTGACTGAATCGACAAACAAACCACAAAAAGAGATCAAACTACTTAAAGACTATCGTCAAACCGCAAATCAGAGTCAAACAGCTTGAAAAACTATTCATGAACAAAAATCGCATATTCAAATTCAATCCGATGATCTAAAACAGAGAAAATCAACAAGATAATGAATAAATGTCATTTTGATCAGTCGAGGCACATCAAATCAAACCCTGAGAAAAAGAACAGTCAAACGACAAATTAAAAAGACATAAAACATTCCGAAAGGCAAAAGGGAACATGCCATAAAAGTAAAGTTATTAAAAAAATAAGAAAAATAAGTAAAAGAAAAACAAAGAATATCGACAACCAACAATTAGCACTAAGATTAATGTTGTCGCTCGCCAAGCAAGATGAAAGAGAAAAACCTAATTTTTAATTCGTAAGTTTATACTTCTATACATATGTATAATTGAATCAGAATAAGAATTTCATGTGTATATTTGAATCGTGATCAAAGTTTTATGATAGGATAATTTACAGCTCCATATGGTAGGGTACAATTGAACAGAGGCCAGGAATCTTTTGAAACCCTTTGTTCACCATTGCCATCCTCATTTTTTCAGCCTTTTCCCATCTATCTGAAGCTGGATAGATATTTGACAGCAGCACATGATGTGAATTATCCCCAGAATCCAAGTCATCATCCGTTCCAACAACTTCTCGCATCACTTGTTCTAGCATGTTAGTGTCCATATGAATCCTGCAAGCGCCGAGCAGAGCCCTCCAAACTACATCATTCGGCTTCGTCGGCATTCTCTTGACTAGGCCGAAAGCTTCTTTCAATCTTCCGGCACGCCCCAAAAGGTCGACTAAGCAACCGTCATGTTTGATGCTTGCTACGATGCCGTAAGTCTCCATCTTGGAGAAAATTTCCAACCCGTCATCTACACACCCGCCATGGGCACAAGCTGATAGAACCGAAAGGAAAGTGATGGCATCCGGCATCTTGTTCGACTCTTCCATTCTTTTGAAAAACTCCAGAGCTTCTCTGCTTTTTCCATGAATGGCGAAACCCGATATCATGGAATTCCAGCAGGTGATTTTCCGGTGACTCGTTTGTTCAAAGATCGACCTCGCTTGGCCTAAGTCACCGCATTTGGCATACATATCCAATAATGCATTCAAAACGAACTGATTAGCCTCATTCCCTTCGTCTTGATACGATAATGGATTTCTTTTCCAACATCTAATTCACCTAACTGTGCACAAGCATATAAAACACTTGTGATGGTAACTTCATCGGGTTCGAAACCTTCGTTCTGCATTTTCCTAAACATTTCCAAAGCTTCTTCACAGAAGCCATTTTGTGCATACCCTGAAATCATCGAATTCCAATTAACCGAGTTCCTAACAGGGATTCTATCGAAAAATTTCCTAGCTTCCTTAACATCACCCCTCTTACAAAACCCAGAAATCATTGATGACCAAACAAAGTAATTCCTTTCTGGCATCATTTCAAAGATCTCCCTTGCAGCTTCTAATTCTCCATTTGCCTTGTACCCGTCAACTATCACCGTCCAAGTCACCACGTTAATTAACTGTGATGGTACTTTATCGAATAATTGTCTTGCTCTTAAAGTGTCTCCACTCTTTGCAAACCCATCGATCATCTCTATCCAAGTCACCGAGTTTCTTCCAATGGGCATCTTTTCAAACAAATTCAATGCAGATTCGCTATCCCCGTTTTTCAAATACCCACCTATCATCGCGTTCCATGTCACCACATTTCTCTCGGGCAATTCATCAAACACCTTCCGGGAATCGATCAAATTGCCGCATCTTGAATACATACTAAGCAATGACGAGGAGATACGTAAATCGACGGATACACCAAATTTGATTGACTCGGCATGCAAAGATTTCCCATAATCCTGGGCTGAAGCTGAAGCTGAAGCAGAAGCAGAAGCAGAAGCAGAAGCACATGCCTTGAATATCAAAGGAACAAGGCCTAAAATGTAGAGTCCCTGCTGGCGTATTTGGGTGTGTAAAGAAAGCACTTGATCGGGATTTCTTTGAGAAAGGTGGTTTCTTATGATGTAAGACCAACCGGGTTGATTTTGGTTTGAACTGTTCTTGGCTATATCTTCTACAATTCTAATGGCTTTTTGTGGGTTTTTAGGCAATTTTGTTGTTCCCATGTCACAGTTTTAATTTTTAAGAAAATGCTCAACTGTGGGGTTTATTGATATATTTTACAGTCCTGGTAGATAACTAAAGTCAAGGTCCCAAGTGAAGAAGAAAAAGTTGAATCCATTCAGTTGGGAATTTCCCCATCAGAAATAGGCTCATCGGCAACACGGACGGTAATTGATGAGTCCCCGTCTAAATATACGTCAAGTGTGAAGGTATCAATCAGGCTTCATTTTCTGGAGGATGATCTTCGAGCAGAACACAATGAAGGAATGGACGTAAAAAGGATGAAGAAGATGAAGTTCTTTGATCTAACATTTGAATTACGGCAATGTAAACGATTTATCCTTTCTAATTTAGACTGAAAATCATCGTCAATATTTCATGGTAAGATAACTTGTGTCACTCATCGCAGTCACTTGCCTATAATTTCATTTAAAATGTTGAACGCGGATCAAAAAGAATGAACCACCAATGACAATAGCTCAAGCCTTCTCTTTTAACATATCTAGAGATGAATCCATGTGTAGAAACTTGCCTATCTTGAACAGTATGTTACTAATTTCTTAAGCATGAGATCAAAATCTTCTGTTCTCGTCTTGAGAACTTGAAACATTTCATGGCAAACCCAATAATTGACCGAAAGTTGTTGAAAGACATATTGCTACTTTATTGTATTTAATGACCCATTCTTCCGTTCTATGCATACGTTATTTGTATTACTACGAGTCAGATTTAAAAAAAAATCGAATTCATGTCGGGATTTTTAGAGGTCGTGTTCGGATTGGATCTAGTTTAGGTTTAAAGTGAAAAATACCCGATCCGAAAAAATATAATTTTAACTTATATATTTTAAGATAATTACAATAATACCCCACTATATATTAGCTTTTTCAATTAAATCTCTATTTTTATTGAATAAAAACAATATTTTTAATAAATATATTATTTCAAATCCGATTCGAATTTTGCCTCAAAAAGCCAAGTCGGGTGGAGGGTATAAAATTTTTGGATCGAATTGACCAAAACCCGACCCGTGCACATCCCTAACTATGATTGTGTTAAAGCTCAAATTTAGTATTTTTGAGACTTGGTTTACCTACGGCCAAAGAATATTCAGTCGATGCATTTCATCAATTACGGATACATTCGAATCATCCTTTACTTTCTCTCTAGCATTATTCATCTGTCTATATACATCCGATCCCCCACAAAACTTTAAAGAGATTTTGATAAGTTCAGCTACCATTAAATATATATATATATATATATATATATATATAGATAAAAAAAACCCATTAAATCTATATTCACTCGATGAAAAGAAAGATATTTGTAAACCTTCTTTCATCGTAAAAAAGTGAAAGAGAAACTTGAATTGCACATCCAAATTATTGAAAGTAGAAATAATTCACCTAGGAAAATGTAACCACCTAGCATTATATTACATTCAACTGGAACCTCCACAAGTGTATGCACACGCAGCAATCAAATTTACAAGAGGAATGGACCTAAATGGCATGTTAAACCATTTACCATTATCCATATCAGCTAATAAAAGACATTGATGTTAAGGACCAATACGAAAAAGCAAATATACAAGACAGACGAACAAATTGATGCTTACCTTCGGATAATTGCAGATAATCCATCACCTAAGATGATCATCAAAGTAGTTTATGCAGGTTGTATGAGCATCCTAGCCAGCATCAACAAATAGTACTAGACAAGACCAAGATAAAAGTAATACTGGCACCTTCTGATATCAGCTACAATGGAAGAAAAGATCAAAGCTAGATCAAACTCTTTGTTGAAGACGGGGTACTATGGAGGGATCTTGCACAATTGAGTTTTGAGCTGAATATGAAGCAGTCGTAGATCATAGAAGTAGATGACGAACTGCAGAGAAGCTAACAGTAGACCATTTACTGACTTCATCGTCTTAAAAAATTTAGAAGCTTTGTTGAAGATGAATATACTACAAACAAGGTTGCAACCAACACTGTTTGTTACTATTAGCGAATTCAACATGCAACTCAAGCTTCTACAACATGCAGGAGCGATAACCAGTACAAGAGGTGGTCCAGAGAAGCAATAGTGAGGAAACCATGTGCACTAAGATGCAGTAAAGGGGCGAAAGGATGCTGGTTTACTTCAAAATCACAAATCAAACAAAACATAAAAATCCTTTAGAATCATCAATCACAAAAAGACAAACTTAACATAATAACTAAGTTTAACATATGAAGGTAACAGATAAATAGAAGTAGATAACAACATGAAGAAAGGGACTTCCCAGTTTCATATGCTGCTTAGAGCAAGCCATCACCCGTTTTGGCAACTGAAACACTTTGCAGAGTGGACACCACGCAAAACCACAAGTTCTAACAAGACCCTATTGTCACAAAACAAATATAACATAAATCTCTTTTGCTCACAGAAGCTCCTAAAACAGTATTACGTAATCTTTTCCATAGATATATTCCAGAATTGCTCAGATCAGGTCTTGCTTTAATCTCTGCAAAAGAATTTAAACAAAGCATGTCAAATACGGAACTACATTGTAAGTATCAAAAATAAGATCCGAAGTGATTCAAGTAATTTGGTAGGTATGACATACCCATTAGCATAAGGTGAATCACGACGAGCATGACGATATGGAGGTGACCTGCTGATGCTGCGACCACGATGAGGTGATATGCTGCGGCGCCGAGGAGATCTTTTCCCATGTGGACTGTAGCTCCTGCCACATAATATAGAAGTTTTATGAGCAGGTAAAAGTAGCAAGTACATCTTGTAAGTAATCTGCGCACACATGTTCAGGTGACAATCATAACAATCCAAACACACACACAAAGGTAAAATAGTTATAAAAAAAACAAGCCTTATTAACCAGGCGTAATATGTATTTGAGCACATCAAGGTTAAAAAAGTCAAAAGATTATGGCCTAAATACGTACAGACCCAAGTGCAACTCAAGTTTACCTCAATTATAAAACCAAGAATATATATCTATACATCCTAAATTCATTAACGAATATTCTTACTTATAGCCAATCAGGGGGGAAAGGCTTTGCTTAGCAAAAGAAAAGGCATAACATGTATTGTACCATTGCATAGTATAGGCAGCTCTGCAAACCTGATTCGGCAGAAACTATCCTCATACAGCCTCAAATGTAATCAATGTATGTATGAAAGAACCATTAAACACTCTTATCAAAAAAAAAGAACCATTAAACACACCTGCGCTCATATCCATAACTTGGACTCCTACGGCGACGAGGACTGGGGCTTCGCCTTCGCCCATTCCCAAGTCCCCGTGAACCACGTGAGCGACATTCACGAGCAAAGTGACCAGGTTCTCCACACTCATAACACTTCAAATCCTCTCCCCCACCACGACGCCCACCACCACGGCCTCCACCACCTTTAGAATTGTGAGAGAGTTCCACACGCCAACCATTCTTGCCTTCAAGGAGAAAATAAAAACAGTAAGCAAACTCCAAGTCAGTAAAACAGGAAGGATCAAAAACCCATCATTGATTTTAAGAAGCACATAACAAAAGAGCAGAGTCAAACCATAGACTGCAAACAACTAGTAAACAATTCCCAGCTTGTAAAAATACTAAGAAGAATCATATAAGACATCTCTCTTAACATGCATATAAAAGCTTAATTGTTAATGGGTTTAAAGCATATGCACAACATAAAATGAGGGAAAACAGATATAATCAAGCAAAAACCAAATGCAAGGTTTGAGAAATGCAGCAAAAAGATAAAATAAACACAGAAAACATCATAATTCAAAGTAAAAATGGTAATAAAAGCAGTATACTCACCATCCAATTCACGAATTGCATCCACAGCATCCCTGCGGTCATCAAACTCAATAAATGCATATCCTGGTGGCCTTCTAGCTACCCAGACACTGAATCCATCAGAAACTAATCAATCAAACAATAAAAATGCATTCATACTTAAAGATATATAAAATTACATATAATATTAAAACGATACGTTAACTTGATTTGAATGTCGCAAGAAAAAAAACGAAAGCTACACTGCTACCATCTAAAACACATAATATTCAGGTCACCATCAAAATAATTTTTTTTTCTTCATTTAGAAAAATAAAATCATATTTACTTGCGGAGAACGCCGAAAATCCTAAACTCGACTTCGAGATCCCTCTCAGTGACCCGAGGATCCAAATTCCCGACATAAACCCGAGACATTCTCGAAAATCACTGCACAATATAAATAATAGCACCAACAAATAAGTAAAAAATCACTAAAAGTGAAACAAGAAACAGAAAACCCTAGAAGAAACAGAAAACCCTAGGAATAGGATGGTTACAAAGAGGTCAGAGAAAAATTAGGGGCTTTTGTAGGAAACGATCGAAGGAATATATGTAGTTGAGGGAGACAATACGATTAGGGGTTACCTAGATGAAGTTTATAGGGCGTTTTTACGATGAGAGAGATGGAGAGATTAAGAAATGAAGTGTACGATCGATTGTTTTGGCTCTGCTGCACACAATTGCAAAGCGTTGGATACTAATTAGAAACCCTAGAACATGAAAATGTAAATTGATTTTTGGTTTTAAAGGGCAAAACAATGTAGCGTGTAAAGACGCCTGGGTCTAGGGATCGGAACGGGTCGGATCTACCAAATATATGGCCTTTAGCTTTGTTGGATCGGGTCGAACGATCTCCATTGAGGTCCTCGGGTCCGTGCTCTTTCCGTCTTAAAGAATAAATTAAGTTTTAAAAAAGTAAATATTCAAATATCTATATAATATTGAGTTCTAATTATCAAAAACTTTATACTGTTAGGGATGTTTGGTTGATAGATTTTTGGATTCGCAGTATTGTTTTTTTCGAGTTAAATATACTCATGTTTGAATGGGTCATATTCTCAAGTGAGGGTAAAAGGTCAATACCAACAGTATTTTTTGGGTATGAATTACTGAGAATATTATTCTCACATCTCACCTAGGTATTTCTTTATTCCCGTGATTAATGGGCTAAAATACCTTCTCCCCGTTTGCTTGCTTCTGCGATGGAAAAAATTCAACTTCTTTGATTTGGCGAGAGAAACTCTCAGAGTATAATTCCTCTTCCGATTTCAAAAACCACATTCTTCGATTTGGTGAGAGAAGCATTCTTCTTCTTTGATTTCCCTTATCTATCAGAAAAACAGAGGAAGAAATGGACAGCGGAAGAAGAAGTTGCACTCAAGGCAGGAGTTCTTAAGCATGGTACTGGAAAATGGTGCAATATCCTTTCAGATCCTGAGTTTAGTTCTATCTTGCATTCACGCTCAAATGTGGATCTCAAGGTATGTAGCTGAGCCTCAAGCATGATTCTTTATATTAGATTAGATTCTAGATTCTAGATTCTAGATTTTTTCTTCTTCTTTTTGGTTATGGCTTTATTTTTTCTTTTATTCCAGCGCTTAATAATCTGAAAGAGCTGCATATATCAAATAGTAACATCACTAATTCTAGGATGTCTTATTTGAGAGGTATTTATCTACCTTTTCTTTTGCATGGTGGACACACACTGTCGTCCATTGTGTTATATAAAAGGATATGACTTCTCTTTGTTTATATTCATTGTTCTTGGTTTCAGTTCCTAATACATTGAATGTAACATGATTAATACATCTTACCTTTTAGGTCATAATCTTCAGGTTCTCCTAGTGATGGCATCTTAATCTTATTTCCCGTACTAATAATCTATTATCTTAATAAGACCAGATGACCTAAAGAATTAAACATATTATGTTATGTACTAACATTACTTTCCATGGCAGGTTTGAACAAACTTAATATGTTGAATCTGGAGGGATGTAACGTTACTGTTGCATGCTTAGATTCCATCTCAGGTATATTCTCATTACTTACCTCTACTGATAATTTAACACTACATTTTGTAGCTGTTATACATTGAACATTGATGTGCCTTCAGATATAGTGACATGTATTTCATGGGGAAAACCAGTAGGTGGATGTAATGTCTTAGAGTTGTGAGATAGGTAGATAAGGATAAACTCTCTATCATTATCATGCATAGAAGATCAAACTTCATCATATCACAAAATACAATGAGTTGTTAGCAAGTCCATGGAGTTTGAGCAACTATCAAATTTCTTAGAATTATAATAATTTCATGTGACATGCAATCATTGGCATACTTAAATCTTGGAAAATGTGGCCTAACAAATGATGGATGCGACAAGCTTTCTGGTGATTTGTGTTTGAATTCTTTTAATGCTTTGATTCTTGAACCATTGTGTAGAACTACTACATTGCTAAGTATAATTGGAATGTTTACAGTATTCACCAAGCAGAGTAAAGCCCCTGTTTTGTTGTATTTTTTTTTTGGTGTCTTTAAGTTAGCCTGCACTCAAGTTTTTTAAAATCGAAATCTAATCTGATGAATGATTTTGGCATTCAAACGAAATTATTACTATTAGTGTATTGTGTTTGTTTTAATTTCTAGGTCTTTGTTTCTTTAGATTTTATAAAATGAATCAGTTAATAATAATTCATATATGTCAAATTGGTTTTTGAAATAGAGAAATCCATCATTTTTGTATCTGCAACTGTCTTTCTCAAAATCTCAACATTATTTACAATTGCGGTTAACATCATCTTCCCTCTCTTTTGATCATCTTCCCTTTGCTTGCTGTTGGATTCTTCACATTTGTTGATTGAATTAGTTCACAGTATTGAATTAGTGGAGTAGAAATCTGTTAGATTGGTGTTTAATCATTTGCTTGCTGGGTATATTATATTTATTTGCAAATTTATACACGATTTAGGCACTGAGGTAGGTGTATGTGCAAATTTATACTCTTAGTGTCCATGTATCTTTTACACACTGTTAAGTTTTTTTTCCTTCCATACAGCTTGAATTCTACAACACTCTTTGTGAAGTTAATTCCCCTTTGAAAAACCACATTCCTACTGTATTGGCTAGTGGGATTCTGCACTTGAAAAATGGATCTTACAAAATTGATTCTTGGGATGGTAAAGACGTTCCTGATGTGCTTGAAAAGTGCAATTTGATTATTGGGTGTACATAGCAGGAAGTTGAGAAAGATTGTCATTGGATATTAGAGTTATAAGTGGGAAGCGTGAAAATACACATGCAACTAGTTTGCTTTTTTGTTTTTAGTATATGTAACACATAAGTATACATTTGTATGTATTTTTGTGATATTAATGTTTCACCCTTTTAGTTTCAAGTGGCTTGTTTTTATTTAATATTGATAATTAAAAATATGATTTTTTAATACTAGTAATAATATATTTTATAATTAATAAATTAAAAATATTCTCTAAAGTCATCTTTGTACATTTTGGTAGGAGTAAAATGGTTCATCTATTACAATGTTCATATGTTTATTTAATTAAATGTTGATGTAAAATTTTAATATATGTTTAGATAAATTATGTAAAATTTAATATTAATTAAAATTAAAATAATACATGATATATTTAAATAATAAAATAATATATAATCGATGAATTTTTATATAAATAATTTTCATTTAAATATTTAGAATTCAATTTGTTAAAAAAATATAGAACAATGACAATTTGGTAAAATATATATTCCAGTAATATTTTATTCCAGTAATCTTTTATTCTTTCAACCAAACACTGTAATCTTACATTCCTGCCAAATAAGTCAAACACAATAATGTAATATTCTCGGTAATGTGTTAGATAATGTTATATTTCGGTAATCCTATTCTCGTAGGTAATCTTACATTCCGTAAACCAAACGCACCCTTAGGAGTCAAATAGAGTCTACTCCGTTCAATTTTTCACTAAAATATAAATAAATTCACACTTTATGAATTTTTAAAAATTGAAATCATAACTGAACCCGAATGATATAAAAACCGTAGTTTTCAATTCAGTTTTTTAATTTTTGATTCTTCATTATTTTTTAAACTTAACCTCTAAAAAAGTAATTTAAATTTTAAATCGAGTCAAAATATATAAATTTAAATTTATAAAAAAAATCTTAATTTTAAGATTATATCTATTTAAATTTATCTTATAATAAATTCAAAATGAATTTATTTTGAATTCTTATACTCTTCTATTTTTTTTAATTCGGTTTGATTTAGTTTAAACGATTTTCATAAAAAAAAATAAAAAACGAACCGAATTGTATATTTATTCTTTTAAACCGAACTAAAATCAAACTGCAAATTGAAAAGCCCGAACCGAATCGTGTAATTCAATTCGGATCAATATTCTCGTTTACATTACTCAATCCAATGTAGTACGAAGGATGGAATGAAGAGCAAACACTAGCTGACAAACTGTTATACTTCAAAACCAACCATTAACACTAATAAGAAGAACTAAAACGGTACCTTAATTCAAATGGTTCTCCCTTCTCACACAAGTATTGGCTTCTGTTTCATTGAATTTAAAGTTAGAGATCAAAGTTAATCAAATTTAAACAAATAAAATTTGTTCATTAACATAAATAAATCGAATACACCTATCTTTATATTCGTTCATTTATTAAAATGATAACAAAGTTTTTGATTAATCAATATGAAATTAATCAAATTTTGATTAATAGTTAATCGATGAATTAAACATGGATGGAGCTGAAGAGTAAAAGAGGGGAAGGGTTGGTTACGAGGGATTCGGGGCGGGCGTTCTGGCAGAGCTGGGCCTCCGATTGAGGGTTGAGGGAGTTCGTGAGTTGCATGACGCCGTAGCCGAGGACACCCGGAACGACGCCGCAGATGGTGGCGAAGGCCAAGAAGAAGGGCTTCGAATCCCTCGTCCGCCTCACCAGCCACCGACAGGACTGGCTCTTTTCCCACAGTATCGACATCTCCGATCTCCCTGGTCGCTGGATCTCTCCAGACTATTGCTGGTTAATAAACCCCTCCTAATTCCACGACATTTTTAATTGGGCCTTTATTTTCCTTTTTTATCGTTTTTATTTTTGCCTAAACTTTGAACTATGGATGATTGTGTGTGTATAATCGATCTTTAAATTTGACATTCAAATTGCTTGTTTTTCATATTTAAAAATTTTAGGGTAAGGTACACAAATGACCCTCATCTATAAGGTATTACTTTTTAAGTTTGTTGACTATTAAAAATTACAAAATGATCTCTCGATTATAGTGTGTTGCTTTGTTAAGTCTCTCGACTATTAAAAGTTAAAAAAAAGGTCATCCGACTGTTCATATGTTCCAAACTAATCATTTTTTCGTTAAAAATTTGATGACAATCTGAGTTAGACGTTAACATGTTGACTAAGATATGATAGTCATTAGAGATTTTAGGATTATATTTTATCATATCACAGTCACCAGGTTAATGTTCATCTCAGATTACCATAATTTTTTTAATAGAAAATGACGAGTTTGGAATATATAAATAGTCAAGTAACCATTTTATAATTTTTAGTAGTCAAGTAACTCAACAAATCAATACCCTATAGTCAAGGGACCATTTATATACTATACTCAAAATTTTATTACTTTAATTTTGTTGTTTTAGATTGTTTGTTCTTGTTATAGAAATATTT